ACAATGCGTGGTTTATTTATTTTCATGTGATCTGCTCAGCGATTGGAAAACACATTTTGGAAGCCCACGGGGACATAAGCCTCCTCAACGAAAGCCAGTTTTGAATTCTCCGAAAGTGCCAAGGGAAATTTGATTGCCTCGTCTATGAGATGCTTTGCATAAAGGAATGGAATCCAAGCTTGAACACGCAAACTGACTCCATCTGTGCGAAACTCTTTGTTTAATTTTAAACATTTTAGCACATCCATTGAACTATTATTTTACTCAGTATTTATACATTTCTTATCAACTATCATTTTGACTTGATAATGACGTTAGCTCAACGTCGAAACGTTGTTGTCTAACAAAAATTTTTAACTTTCTTAATATGCTTAGAAATATTTTATCGCAATTTTTTATAGTTAACCTGCAGAGATTGGCCATAGTATCAAATATTAATTATTGCTAATCAGTACCATTTTATTATTAAAATCACTAATTACTGACAGCAGTTAATTGCATGCTTTAATATTGCACACATTTTAATTAAATGATGGGCAAAGTAATATGAACTCACCTCAGGAACCTTGTATGTTTCAACCAAAGTGTCAAGTTTCAGGCGTCTACGTACGTCCATACTCTATAAATGAAAGAGGGCATCAGAGAAAAGTAATTAATGGATTAACTGTATGTTTAACTTATGATTTTTTTTCTTTAAATTTATTTACTGATTAATTTGCTAAATTAAAATTTCTTTTATTATTAGCTGAGCTTTACAAATTATTCTGAGTGTATTTTAACAATCTTGACAAACTAACAGACACACTTACTGTACTGCTTGATTGATTAGTACAAATTGTGATGGAGGATTACAAGTCATAAACTTCTAGGTGGCAACTTAAAAGATGGTTTTGAAAGTAACATGGGAATCAACCTGGTTTCCATTGCAAGTTCTCAACTGTTGATTGATGAATGATTAATTGGCAACATTTTTTTTCTGAAGGTGCAGGAAAGACTCTATCATGATACTTTGTGGGATCAACAGTCACCCACACAAGAATTTTTTTCCTTTTTTTAAATCTAAATAATAATTATTGGTAAGTAACTTACTATAATTATTATTCTGATCAGTAATCTGACCAACATGACAAAGGTGTTAGTCAGATATAAATACCTCTCTGAGCATGATCTCTGCTTTTTCTATGCTGAAATCTCTTGCTAAATGAAGAAAATATAAAAATAAAATAATAAAGACATTAAATTAAAATTAAATCAAAAATTTAATATGTCTAATCCACCTTTCTGTGGGTTCACAAACTATAAGTCAAACCAAGCAACCTGAAAAAAAAAATTGACCAATCCTAAATTTTTGGTCAACTTTCTTCCACATCACCTGGCTCAAGTAGTCATGCACATTATATTAGAACTAACAGATTGTTAGAGGGTTCCAAATGATTACTTCTTCCAGGATAGCTATAAAGATTAAGATCTCTGATTACGAAGATCAGTATGACTGAGTGAACTACCCAGAGATTGCCGTGGCTTTTTTAGTTGTTTTTTTCCCATCATAACATAGTAAATGATTTGAACCCAGGAGTATCATTAGTTTGTATAGTGTGATCTAGGTGAGCGTAGTTCTAACAGACCGACTTAACTTGACAAATTTGATTGATAATAGACGGACCAAAACCTGACCAATTTGACTAACAAGAGACGGATCAAAACCCACCAATGACTGATGACAAACTTTACACGAGTCTTTCAGCCAATACCATCATGGCTAAACTGACCAATCATGTTCAACGGACCAGACCTATAACATCATTGACTGACAAACACTATTCACTTGACTCTGAAGATGACTTCCGCTCAGGTAGTTGAAATGTTAGTCACCATCAACAGTTCTTTTCAGAACTACCCTCACCCGGACCATCACACTATACCAACCTTTTCCATCGTGTTTGCACTTGAAGAACAATGTTAGCACAATTATGAGACAGTGCCAACAAATGTATTCATCCCAGGAGTAATAGAATCCTGGAACTGGGATCATATGAGGGTCGAGTATGTCGAAGGCTCTCATTCTTGCTAAAGAGGTTTGTCTATGGATCCTTGGTTTTCCTCTGCCGTAAACACCTTCACTATTAATACCAACTCAGTCTCAATTGGGATGTATAGTTGTACATGTACACAAAAGATTTAATAACGGGCTCTTGAGAGTTCCTTCATCCACCTGGCTAAATAAAATGATGTTTAGATTTTGTCATCAAGTCTGCGCTCCAATTTTTATTGGACTTCAATAATATTCTCTGTCAGTTACCTCGAAGCCATCTTAACAGGAAGTGATCATCGTGGTGTGGCTGTATAATATCACTGATGCAATCACGGAACTGAATAATTTAAAACACAACAACACTGTCATTAACCAACCAATACATAAACCCAGCAGCTCAAAAAAACAACTTAAAAAGTCTTTTTTTCTGTGCACCAGAAAAAAAGATGAAAATAATAAAAGAGAGAGGGAGTTCTGGTCAGTTTTTGCATCTGATCTTTCTATAACTAGAAGTTATAGAAAAATTAATCACCACAAAAAAAGTTCTTGATCACAAATTTCAGACACAAAAATGGCCTTCATATCTCATGCCACCTGAGTAACCCCTCCCTGATACTGCACATTGCTTTCATTATCATGTGTAGTAGAGGCATCTGCAGTCAGGTGTAGATTGATGCCCTTGAATGACCCTTGATCGACTCTCCATCAACATCTTGATTGACACTTGATCGACATTTGGATCGACATCCCGATACACAGCCCACACTAGCTTGACACTTGATTGACATCTCCATTGACATTTGATCAACATCTCCATTGACACTTGATTGACACTCAATCAATAGTTGGCAGAATGTAGGCCGACTCATTTTTTTCAATCAACACTCCAGAGTGTGTCTGCGAAAATTAGTTGACTCTCAACGGACTGTCAACCAAGATGTTGATCAAGTGTTGACCAAGTATCATTGGAGATGTTGATCAAGTGTTGACTGAGATGTACGTGAAGTGTCAATCAAGGGTCGATTGAGTCTATTGATCAACACTCAACTGCAGATGCCTTTAGTACCCATGATCCATTTAGACTACCATAAAATCCTTTGGACTGTAACTGTCAAGATTCTTATGTTGTGTCTTAGTCAGAAACTTAACAATTACAGGGGTAGCAATGTGCGAGACGATAGACAATTCGAACTCCACTTGCAGAATGATTAAAACACATTTAATCACAGTTCAAGGTTCACGAGTTACACTAGTAGCGACAGTGATGACAGAAGGTAGATTACAGTAGCAAAACAGTTCCAAAAATAACTGATGAAAGTAGACTTGAAGGTAGCAAAGTTCGTAGCTGCGGTACAAATCAGTAGAACAAAGTAGAGTACAGTAGTATAGGTTTGAACTGAAAATGACAATTAAAATTATACAGTACAGCTAAGATAAAGCATTTAGTTACATGGGCATGTAACAGACATAATAATCGGTGCTTAATGACTAATAAGGCGGTTTCCAGAAAGACTTGATAGACATAACTAACAACTCGTAGCATAAAAAGAATGCTGAGAACATTACATCCAAAGTACTGGAATAGTAGAAAAACTGAACTGAAACTACTAGCACTGCACATATGTTGATCATGACAACAATAATTTGGTAAAGATTACACAATTGGTTTCGTAGCGTGACGACACTTTGAAAATTGAAAACTTAGTTACTTGGCAATAATAACAATGAAAGTAAAAGATAAGAAAATTACTTTGGTGACGACTCGCACAGACAATACCAGAAAGTATAGCTCAAAGGTAGTCAAATGGTAGCCTGTAACTGATTGATCCTCTGATCGTAGCGGTTGCAGGATAACTAACTATTACGGTTGTTATGAGTCCCCTTTTAAACGCACGCATACATGATTATGCCTAGGGCATTGCTTGAAACATGTGTACTACATTTCGGAAGTGTTATTTCATTTTCTAAGCAAGAATTTAGCTTTGAGCAAGCGTCAAACTGTAAATTCCTAAAAAATACGTATTACATTTGAGCATGTTCTACTAAAACTAAAGCTATTGATTGTTACTAGAAAATGTCGTAAAAGCAGGGGGCATTTCAAAACTAACACGGACAAACATGAGTGTCAAACATTGGTTTGGCAAGATATGGGATAAGAGTACAACTGGAGATGGGAGGCGGGATGACAGAATTTTTTGATATCCATGTGTACCAGTAATCACAACTGTTTAAGAACTGTATTACTACAATTTGATCAAAGAAATTAACTACACAGCAGTCTTATTGGTGTCTTATTTGAAATTATTATATGGCTGTGTCTCACAAGGACTGGGAACTACCAAATTCACGAATTTGATTGGCTGAAAACGATATTGACCGCGGTCTAGATTTCCATCTAGAACGGCATCCAGACCGGTTTCATTTTGCATTGAAAAAGTAGCAAACTAAAATACAAAAATATTCACTGTTTTCTTTTGTTTTTTTCTCAATCATTTATGGAAGTGCCAAAAAGCCTGACGACAAAAAAAAAGGTAAAGAGGACGAGCAAATTTCGGCAGGTTTAAGTTAAGCCCATCTCCGTTTGCAAGCAAACCAGTTCTATTAAACAAATTAAAGTTTTCTTGATCTTTGCCATATAATAAACATCTTATTAACCGAGCTAAGTCAGTCTGTATGGGAGAATCTTGACCTCGGTTGTGTGTACAGACCTCACTGCATTCGGTCTGTACTCACCTCAGTCAAGATTCTCCTATACAGACCTCCTGCTCGGTTAACAGGAGCTAATTATTATATGGCTCTGTCTCACAAGGACTGGGAACTACCAAATTAGCAAATTTGATAGGCTGAAGTTGATATTGAAAGGATCTAGATTTTCCCATCTAGACCAGCATCTAGACTGCTAATGTTTTGCGGTGAAAAAACTTGCAAACTAAAACGCAAAATCATTGAATATTTTCTTCTAAAAATATTTATTTATGGAAGGGCCAAAGAGCCTGATGAGAAAAAAAGTAAAAAGGAAGAGCAAACTTTGGCAGAATTAAATTCAGCTCATCATCGTTCGCAAGCAAAATGTCAGCTAGTACAAACCAGTGACATTAAACGAATTAAACTGTTCTTGTTTGCCGTATAATTAACATCTTATTAACCGACCTTAGTCGGTCTGTTAGGGAAAATCTTGACATCGGTCGTGTGCAAAGACCTCACTGCGTTCGGTCGGTACTCACGACCTCGGTCAAGATTCACCCATACAGACCTCCTGCTCGGTTGATGACAGCTAAATTCTACCTCTCATATCAGTCTTGCAGCTGGTCTTACTCTCAATACTTTTATACGTAGTGTGGTTAGCTGTGGTGTCAGTTGTTAATCTATACATTGTACAAACCAACCTGTGCTAATATCCGTTGCTTCTCTGGTGTGAGGTCAAGATCATCCATCTAAGAAATTTCTATCGCCTTGTTACAACAGCTTTAACGGTGAAAAATAAGTTAACAGCCAGATTTCTCAGTTTTATGAACAAGGAATCATTATCATAAAACCATAATAATTTACCAAAACTAAACACTGTTGACTAATTTTCAACTTCCGCGCTTGCCAAACATTGAAAATGATAATCTGCACATTTCAGATACATTTTATAACGAACAAAGTGATGTACAAAATGACAAGCTAAACCGATAAGCTAAAATCTGTTGACTAACCTTCAAGACACGTTGGTTATATAAGCTTCTGTATTATGTAAGCAGGTGACTAGTAAAATCTAATTTCTCTTGTAAATCTTACCTTTTTCCGGGTAAAATTCGATCAAGTCTTGCAACAAGTGAGAACAACATCAGTCGAAACGATGCGGACGCAGAAGTTGTTTTCTTCAGCAAGCTCCCTCAGCAATCAAGCAATATGTTTATTTTGCTTCTCGATTGCAAATAATCAATATTAATAACGTTATG